CTCCAAAATCAAACAAACATTTTCTAGCCTTAGTCCTGCTATGCTTCAACTTCACTTCACTGCAGTCTTATTTATTCAGACAAATTACTATTTCATATTTTTGTTATTATCATGTAAATAACACAAAATTTTGGATTTACGTGTTCACGTAACCCAAAAAAATTAAAAATAATTAAAACCAATAAATGTTTCAATATTTAGTTCATTCTGTTCCGATTATTGGAATAGTGTATAACTGGGTAATTTCTAGGAGCACTACTAGCAGTACCACTACATAGTCAATACAAAATTTACTATTATTATTATTATAAATACGTAGAGTTAGTAATTATATCAAAATATTACATGGTGAAAGAGCTCTGAATAACCTGTGGTTTATGCATTATAGTATAGACATGTCTATGCATATACACTGTGACACACATGCGAGCGCTTGAACGTACACACATTATTTGCAAAGACAAAGGGTAGATTGTTTTGTTTTTGAGAAAAAACAAACACTAAACAAAGCAGTAGTGAAAAGCTTAGTTAATTAAAGCAACCAGATGAGACAGTTATCTGGAGTTCAAGTTATTTCATTGTATCTGCTGTGTATTATTCAACGCCTTACTTCTTTATTTTGGGTAATTCATGAGATATCTAGATATAAAGTAATCGATCGCTTTTTTTAATTCAAAATAAACCAAACTTCTACAAAACAGTCAAATATGGATGAAATTCATAATGAGTGACTAATTGGGCTTATCCGTTGGGCTATGAGAACGGATACTTGCCGATGACACTGGTTGGTAGAGACGCCCTATCACTGGCTGACAGAAATACAACCCGGATTCTAACCCGGTGTTTAAACAGTAACACCGTGTACCTGTCGTCACCAGTAGATTATAATCTCGATATTTGGTAGGGTTGATGAAGAGTTCCAAACTGGAACGAAACATCTGTTTAGTACTCCTTAGTTTCCAGTGATTTGTTGACAGATGAAATATACCTTAAAATGAGAATGGGATAAAATGCGCGCCAGTAATCAACTTCGAAATACAGTTTGGATCAGTTTGTCATAACTATAAAAATGCTACCTAGAGAGTTGAATAAAAGTTTATATATTATATGGCCTATAATAGCTCACAATGGAGCAAGAGATACTTGTTTCGTCCCAAGTGAAACCCTTCAATTGGATGTGCTTGTATCCAAGTCAGTAATGCTGTTATCAATATGACTGGAAAGCAGGATGGCCAAGGCTGTCACCTAGGTAACAGATATCATTTGATATCATGTATTAATACGAGTTGTTTCCTGTTGATACTTCTGGATTAAACCGCCTTATATGCTCTGCTGGGACAGGCACCTAGATACTACCTTCTCTTCAAGTTACTTATTTTATAGTGGATAGCATGAAATACGGATCTGTGTTTCATCATGTTAGTGACTCTTCATGTAGTTAATTCAGTCCGCAAATGGCAGCTGGAGATTCCAAAGATAAATAAATAACACAAACAGTCTACATCTTCAAATATCATCTGAAAAACTTCAATATGACAAGATGGAAAGTTATAATCACAATGATGATATTTTAAAACGTTACTGGACACTTATCGAATCGTTATTTTCCTTATTTACATAAATAAAAACATATTTTGTTCATCTAACGAGTAGGAAAGTACGTGATGCTTGCTTGCCATGAAGTTTAAAGCTGGGTTCTTTTTACACGTTTTCACTTACTTTCTAACGTGTATTATAGGTAAAATAGCTGTTCGTCTCGATAAAAATTACTGTTTTAATGCGAGTTGTGTGAGTCGGACTATTCAGCGCTTGAATACTTACCAAACACACATGTGGTCCAAGATTCGACTACCCGCCAACGCACGCTGAATTCTCGCCTAGTCTACTAGCTAGTAGTAAGCTTGGGAAAGAGAGAAAGTTGGGTGTGAAGCTAGCACCCCTACTCCTTAAAAAACCACACCAACACTGCTGAAATTTCGGAACCTAAAAAAATAAAAAGGAAGTTTATATTGGTTGTGCTCTCATGATTTAATTATTTTCTGAGATTAAACATCTTGATGTTAATTTAGATGTTACTGCTAGTTGAAAGAGAAGTAACTACTAGTCGTTACTATCCAATAGAAAGCAAGGGAAGTTGACATATTTCCCACTAGGACTTATGTGTACTTAAGAATTATAAAATTAATGGAGGATTTCATCATGAGCTGATATCAGTTAGAGAACCACTGGGAAACCTGGGAGTACTGGACAGCTATTTCGTCCTAGTTTGGGGCTCTTCATCAGTACGCACCCACTGGGGTTCGAACCCAGGACCTTCTGGTTACAAAGCGAGCTCGTAGACCATTGAGCCACTTTGATTATTTTAATTTCAACAACGTTCCACATTTGCTTTTATTTAAAATATTTTCAGTCGAATTAACTATTATTATAGAATGTGAGGTGAAGAATGAAAGTGAAATTATGATTTAGTATTGAAATCATTAGTTGATGGATTACTAACTTGGACCTGGCCCTAATGAACTATGAGACTCTGGTGTTAACCGTGTTGACACCATCATCATCATCAATGTAAATGCCCTGTTAATAATTTCCCTCATTACTAAGTAATGTATTTTTTCATTCCTGCACGTTTCCACTGGAACATAGGGCTTCACGTTAGAGGCTTGAAGTTTCGGTAGCAGTGGTGTTTATTTTTATGGGATGGGGTTGCTAGCCTCATGCCTAACCTTCCCTCTACACCAGTCTTATTACTGGCTTAGCGAGGCTGGGGATCGGACCCCGGGCCACATGCGTGGTTGGCGAGCATCCTACCTCTGCGCCACCGACGCCCTATTTAACGCATAGAGGAAATTAAATTCAATATTGTACTACCTGCTGAAAACTCAACATTGTATCAAACGTGTTGTTTCGGGAATAAAGCTGTTAGTATGATTATTGTTACGTTATCATTTTATTGAAGTCACTGAGGATTGAACTCGACTATTAGGCGAAAGAATGAGATATAATTATCTGTTAAGTATCACCATACTACCTGCTTAGCTAGGTATAAACCTTGATGAATATAGTGAAGTTATAATCCAGTGAACAACGGGTTCCCATGTCTTAATAAGAAGACAGTTGAGGCTATTTCCGTGAATCTTTAACTAATATTAATTCGTTGTCTAACTTGAAATCTCACTTTCATTCATAAGCACACAGATCTAAGGTTATCTCTTTCTATGGTTCTCCTCAAAGTTTATCAGAATGAAAGATTAAGTTCTGAAAACAATTCGAAAAATTCATTAATTATTTTCAAATATAAATAAATGTCTGTTGAGTAATTTATTTTTATTTTTGGTTTTGTTCGTATTATTTTACGAATAATATTTCACAGCCAATGAATTAACGCAATTTAAGATTTACTCATATAAGTATTAACTTTAGTAAATAAAAGCTGTTATTCTGTTTTATATTATTATATCACTGTATTAAGAATTTTAAATAAGTTCAAGGTACTTTGTATTACTAAACTGTTAAACTTCTAAACGTAATCAGATTGTTCAGTTGTTGGTTTGCAGGGATTTCATTGGTTTCAGGATTTCATCATGAATTGACATTGGTCAGAGGGCCATTGGAAAACCTACAAGGAGTACTGGACAGCTGTTTCATCCTATTTTGGGACTGTTCATCAGTGCGCACCCACCAACGGGTTCGAACCCAGGACCTTCCGGTTACAAGGCTAGCGAGCTCGTAGACCATTAAGCCACTGGGGCTCGATTCAGCGGACAACCAATGAATTCCAACTTCTATCAGTGGCGTGACCACTAGCGAATGTCATCGCTGGCGAGTATTTTTCCTCACACACGACCTGCTGTACCAGTACTGATGAGGAGTTCTAAAATAGGACGAAACGGCTGTCCAGTACCCTCAGGTTTTCCAACTGTCCTCTAACCAACGTCAGTTCATGATGAAATCCTGTAATCAGATTGTGTTTATGGGGATATGAATTAATTTCAGTGTAGATCTCGTCACGAACCAACATCCTGAGAAGAATCACCAAAAACCAGGGAACAGTGGACAGACTGTTTTTTTCCACTTCGAGACTCTTGAGCAATACGCACTCATGAACTCAGGACCAGCTCATCAGTGGTTATTGGGTGGATGTCATGAAGTTCCAATGAAAAGTCATGGCTAGCAGAGTCGACTATGTCAGTGTGAAATGGATACTCATCGATGCCATTGGTTGACAGTAGCTTTATATCACAAATTGACAGAAGTTATATTTCAGTATTCACTGAATTCCAACTCAGTGACTTAATGATCAATGAACTGGTTTCGTAACTTAAAGCTAGTGGTATAAGTACAAAACTTGGGCACTGTGGTAGAGTATAACTCCATAATGGATAAGATTTTATTTTGATAAGTCAACATGTTCACTTTTTATTAAAGCTTCTGAGTTCGATTTATGGGGTGGGGCCATGTGTGATGTTGCATATACCTTATCAGGAATTCTTTTCATTATTTTTACACCTGATATTAGCATTAAACGTATGAATAAATTGAATTCTATACTTATCCTGAACATTACACTTATTATGGAGATGATAAGATCTCTAAACGTGTTTCTTATCGATTAATTTCATTGATAAAAAATCATAACACTACTACTAATATTACTACTGTGTACTTTTATTATTTTATTCCTTTGCATTCCGAGTGGTAAACAGATATTCCAGCTAGAGCTTTGCAGTTTCAATAGCAGTGGTTTTATTTTACAGGGTAAGATTGCTAGTCTGACGTCCAACCTTCCCCCTTTGCTGGACTTTCTGCTGGCTTAGCAAGGTCTAGGAGTGCGTTGGCCGAGGTTCGAACCCTGGACCAAATGCGTGGTTTGCAAGCATTCTATTGCTACACCACCGACGCAGCTACTAAATAAGTATTACTATAATAATTATTATTATTATGCACTCTTATATTGTCTTCACTTTCTATTCATATTTTCTATTTTTCTTATTATTCAGATGTGAATTGGGATATAACCTATTTATTGAATCGTCGTTATGATATAGCTCGTGCAGATGAAGATTTCCCTATAAAAATTCAACCACCATCAGGAGATTTATTATACAGTATACCAGCATTACGTTTATTTCCACAATCAAAACTACCAAATGATACATTCTTTATTCATTTAATATTTAAACCAAATAAAACAGCTATTCAACATGGTTTATATCTATTCAGTATACGTGATCCAGATAATATTTTAAGGCTTGGATTGAAAATTGCTGAAGTAAGTGAAATTGTACTGTCATTCTGTGAACTTTTTATAATTATAATTATCGTTACTATTATACACAAACATATGTACATGAATTATTTAATTGAATTTTAGATTTTCACCCCGTTCGATTGATTGGACCGAAGTGTTCAGTCTCAGGTTGACATGTCGGCTTCTTTTGCAGATGCTTCGACGATGTCTGGACATGTAATTAGAAGTTAATTAGTGGATGGTGACTAGCAGTGGAATCCAGGATGCGCATTTCGTCCTATTTGGGACTCGTCATCTGGATGTACCTGAGACCGAGCACTTAGGTCCAATAAGTCGACGGGAAAATCTAAAATTCAATTAAATAATTAATATGACCCGTTGCACAAGAGGTGGCTCTCGTGGCAAAAGTGGTGTAATGGATAACGCTTTGACGTTTAAAACTATGGGCACTGGGTTCGAGCCTCGGTGGAAACATCATCACTCACTGGGGAATGCAGGTACATCCAGTGACGAGTCCCAAACAAAACGAAATGCGTATCCTGGATTCCACTGATAGTCACCATCCACTAATTAAATATGTACATGAATCCCATAAAATGTAAATATGTCGAAGCGCTTGGTCTCTGTTGAACTATTAACTCCTCTACCCACATAAGGACACAACCAACCAGCTGACGGACCTGATGTAGGATGAAGCACACATCCCAGATTCCATTATCAACTAAATAGTAATTCACCTGCGCTGATTAGTGTTTAACTGATTACTCTACTAGATGGGCCTAGGTGAGAAAAACAGTTTCATTTCCACCTAAGTGAATGTAAACTCAGCATCTAATGAACAATCGGACAGTACATAAAAAGTATTCAGTTGAAATAGTTCACAATCATAGGAAGTTGTGTATTAAACTGACTGACTGAATTTTAAAGTAGAACTCTGAAAATATGTGCAGTAGTTCAAGTTATCACACTTCATGTGTCACATAATGATAGAGAAATAGAAAATATTCAAACTGTACGGGGGAAAAATTAATCACATTGGAAATAACAAGGATTAAATTGATCTTAGGGACTACAAAGTGTGGACGCATCTGCACCACTGAAAACGATTTTGAACCATATCACAAAAGTCTCAAGCCATTGGTACTTAGCATCCCAAGGAACCCAACCAGACAGTCTACACCTCCCTTCATAGATGGTTAAACCAACTGTCAAAGACTTCATGGACTGATGTCATGTTTTGATTTGACCACCCTAAATTCTTTTCCAATCTAATCCTATCTCAGCTAACATTACTCGACTTGGAAGGTGATGGCTCAGAAAGCGTAACACATGCCCTAACCATCTCTTTGGTTATTCGGCAGTGGTCGAATAAGACTGCATTAATCGGTTGAACTCAGGTCAGTGAACACACTGTGATTCAGACACTGGTTACGAATTCAAATATCAGTGTTCTACAGCTGTTTTTTTTCCAATTCATAGTATAAGGCGAACGTTATTCAGTATCAACAGTAAATAACTGCTTATACACCTGATCAGCGCCACTGGTTATTTAATTAAAAGATTTAACTGGAAACAGTTTATTTATGACTACAGAAATGTTAATCAAGTTAAAAGTTCTTTTATAATATTGACAGATGAAGTAAAAGAAAAAACGTACACTGTGTACATTCAACAACAACAATAACTACACAAAATAATCTATACGTTATATTATATTTATGTTACTTCATATTTCATTCAATGCACTTTTATTATAATTAATTTATCATCATTATTATTATTATTCCATTTAATTAATAACAGAAAATAAATATTTATTAACAGATATTTAGAATATCTTTTATCTCTTATATAAATAATTATTGTTATTTGCCTCTTGGGTTCAGAGTGGAGCCTCAAAAGCACATCACCATTTCACTTTGTCCTCTGAAGTCTTTTCCGAATGGCTCCACGATTGATCATAAACTGTCATCTCCTCTTCACACAATCTCATCCTTGTCATCCAAGGCCCACACTCAACCCATCATTTCCCATTCGGGTCCCACTTGAGGCACTGGCGCATGATACCACTCAGCGATCTCCTCAGTGGATTTCTACAGCATCTCCATTTCCTCCTGCATATTTGTTGAGCGATTGGCTCTTAGTTAGATCGTCACTAGAGTTACTTGTTACTAATCCTCTCCAACCACCTATCTGATCTTCAGCATGGAGAAAAGGCTGTTATTGATAAAAGTTTTCACTAGCCTGTTGGTAAAACTTTTCGCGATGAGTCAGGTCGTTGAACCACATAGAAAAACTGATTTGAGAATAGTGTTGAAAATCCGAATCTTCTGCTTTATGTCGAGTGCAGTAGATTCCCACACTGACTTCAGAGTAATGAAAGTTTATCTTGATTCTCTGATCCTGGTCAGCTTTGATATTCGCGTCTGTACTGCCTTTAGTTGAAATCATGTTAGCTACGTAGATGTTTCACTCGAAGGTCTGCCTAGAGCATGATATGACTCAACTTTCTCCTCAATGTACGTCCAACTCATGCCCATTTCCTTCCGAGTATTTGTTGAGTTATAGGTTCTTGCCTGGTTCGCTGCTTGCTAAAGTTCCTTCTTTTTTATTTGTTTTTGAACAGCCATCTGATGATAATATAAAGTTTTATACATGATGTTTTATTAATGAATCCAAGTATAACATTGTTATTAGCATTCAACTTGTCTGGACTAAATATGACTTCTTATAACTTTTGTTATTCCTGAAATAATATTTGTAGCTTTAACGAGATTTGATTGTGTTTACAAAGTGATTAATGTCACAAATCAATACGAAGTTTATTCTGTTTCATAAAGCAACCTACCCTGAACTCTCATTTAAGTAGATAATTTATAAAAATAGTAAGATTCCACTCCAGCATGGAGAAAGCAAATATTAATATATGCTGAGAATTTGTCTCTTTTTAACCTTGATAACAGTTTGAGCTTAAATACTGCACGTGAATATGAATCACTGTAATACATTCCTCTTGTTTTATTTATTATTAAGTTACGACTAGTGGCAGTAATCTTTCCATTAAACGACTGAACGAAGTACCAATACATCCATGCCAAGAATTTACACCTTACTGAATCACCATGGTGTGTGTGTTATGTGACACTTCTACTTATGAGTACTGCACAATTAAATTCTGTACTGCTTTGCATTCCGAGTGGAACGTAGGGCTTCAGGCTGTAAGCTTTGAATTTTCAGTAATGATGATGTTGTTTTCATGAGGTGGGGCTACCAGTCTTGCACTCAGCTTTCAATTCTTTTTCTCGAGCCTACTACTAGTCAGTAAACCATACGAGGTTTAGGAATGCCTGTAGACCATTCTACCATTGACCCATTGATGCACCCTACATTTAATACTAAAATCAGAGTGAGTTATCTTGTACAAGAATATTATGTGACTTATTCGTGTGATCACACAGAACTTCTCGTTAATAGTTTTACGACTAAACAACGATAGTGATTATTATCCAACGACCAACACTGACTATTTCAACAAAATATCAATGAGATGCTCACTGGCGACTGGCCCTATTCAGGTAGGTAGTTACCTGGGGTTCTAGTGGGAAGTCGTGACCAGTAGGGTGCAGCAGGTCGGGTGTAAGGACATATACTCGCCGATGACATTGGCTGGCGGTTGCGCTATATCGTGAATTGTCAGAAGTTAGTATTCATGGGCCATTGGATTGGGTTCCAGTGGCTTGGTGGTCTACGAGCTCGCTTGCCTTGTAACCAGAAGGTCCTGGGTTCGAACCCCGTGGCGTGGTTGCGTACTCCTGAAGAGTCCCAAACCAGGACGAAACAGCTGTCCAGTACTTCCTGTTGGTTTTCCAATGGTTCTCTAACCAACGTCAGCTCATGATGAAATCCTGTAGCCAAAACATTAATTATGATCTTAATTTGTTACAACATAATTAATACGAGTAAAGACTTCTAAGTGGACATCGTTTCACAGTGTTTACACGTATAACTTGCTAATGATAACTAACCAATAAGGAACTTAACTGAAGTAGAGATGCTAATATCGAACAATCCATTTAATTCTTCCAGTAGTTTATGATCATAACGTTTATTACACAACACTTTTATAAGTGTCAGTAATACTGATACCTATTTTAAATATCTGCCAGCTGTAGAAGTATAGTTATAGGATAAATCAATAATGACATCATGAAAAAAACATCCCTTGTTTTTAATTACATTATTTTTGTCAGAAGTGTAATGAATAGCTTACATTACTCAATGAATTAGTTAGCTGGAATTCCAGTTGACAAGTAAAAGAGGTAAACAGCGCTAAATGGTAGAATGCTTGCCAGCCACTTTAAAAAAATATCTGGATTCGATTCCCGGCCGATGCCCTCCAAAACTTTGTATGGCTGATAGTAAGCCGGTAAAAGAGGGGAGGTTGGGCATGAGGTTAGCAACCCCACCCTGTGGAAACGACAGCACTATCGCTACTGAAACTTGAAGCTTCATGTTTCACTACGAATGCAAAGGAATGAAAAAAGAAGAAAAACGACGTCTGAATGCTATCTCAATAACCAGTTGTAGTATTGTATCCGTTATATTTATAAGCTTTCTATCATATTCTTTTTACAAAAGAAACTGTTTACTTTCGCTTAATATCGTTTTACCAAGAGAACTGAGAGCGTCGGTGGGATAGCGGTTAGGACGCTCGCCGACCATGCACATGGTCCGGGGTTCGATCCCGGCCGCCGACGCACTCCTTTACCTCTCTAAGCCAGAAATAATACTGGTGAAGAGGAAAGGTTGGGCATGAGGCTAGCAACCCCATCCTGTAAAATAAGCACTGCTACAGAAACTTCAAGCCACTAGCTTGAAGCCATATGTTCCACTGGGGAACATGAAGGGAAAAAAAGTGAACTGAGAGCAGGTACAAGAAAGAATTCGCAAGTTATATAGGATTCCAACCCAGTGACTGAATCCTAAAGTGTTGGTCTGCAGAGATTTGATTGGTAACAGGA